CCATTTAGCATCATTTTTCACCATCGATATAATTTCATCATGGTCAACACCATATTCTTCCAGTTTCTTATAAAGATGGTTGGGTGAAGTAACTAATCTCAATTTAGAAAACCGTGACATTACAGGCTAAAAATTAAAATAATAAAGCACTAATTAACTTACTGTATGAAGTAAATGTGAAAGTATAAAATCAAATCCATAAAGGTCCCACAGAACCTTTATTGGTTTGAAAAGAGCATAAAAAGTTAGTTAATAAGTTCAAAAGATTTTTTATTTAGTGCCATAGTTTTGAGGATATAAGCGGACTGTTCCTGAGTCCCAGCCTCCTGGGGTCTAAACACAGCTATTGAATTTGGCCTTTTTCCAAACTGTCCATTGTGCATACGAGCCTGGGATTCAGGAACTGTAGGTATTATGGAGGCCTGTATCTTCGAAATTATTGCACTAAATAAAAAAATCTTTTGAACTCTTTTCAAATCCATAAAGGTCCCACAAGTGATATAGGCACTTCAAACAGATAGTTTGATTAGCCAATTAATCCAGAAGAACTTCTCCTTACATGACATTGTAAAATAACCCCTTAAAATTATTTGGAAAACAAGTATATAATGCTGCTGAGTAAAACAAAATGTAGGCGACACATATTACAGTTTAGTGGGGTAGCAAGATATATAGCCTGCTCACAGCCTGAAATTCAGAAGGGGGAAATTTTCCCCTTCTAAATTTCAGGCTGTGAGCAGGCTACAAGAGGATATGACAGAGTCTTCTATTCAGTGTCATAACTGTAGGGTGTTTGGGTGTTCAGAGGCAGGGGGGGCATACCTGGGGGGCACCCGGCAAAAATGACCACATCAATTGGGCAATTTGTCCCGAGCCTCAGACTCAGTTTTAGAGGGTCAGAAAATTTGCAACAGGTGGCCCCCAAAAGCAGGAATTGTTGAAATTTGGAAACACATATCCCCCCCCCCACCCCCACCCGGGGGGAGGGGCTCAGGAGGTTCTGTTACGCCACACTGCTTGTATTAACCCGAAGTGCCAAATACTTGAAATGTTGGGAAGTGGTTATAAAGTCACAAGGTAAATGGCTATATATATTTACACTTACCGCCCAGTTGGAATGGTACAAAAATATACCTAACATCAACTGTATAGCATTCATGCATTGTGACCGATTTCTTAAAAGTATGGATGAAGCCATGCAAACAGCAGGAGTCCATGTCTTTTCCTCTCTTTTGGTCCTAGTTGAACCTGCAGCCACCAATATAGAAAAAAGCAATGGTGCCCTTTCTTCCATTTCCTTTCTTTGATTCTCTAAGGAAAAATTGAGCATTTTCTCTTTTGAGGGTGACCGCAGACAACTTGGATTTTTCTTAGAACACAAGTCAACACATTCTTTGTCAATGTTTTTAAGAATATTAAAAACAAGATGCTTTCTTATATGTAGGTTTCCCCACGCCGCATTTGCGATCTGCTTGTATGTCCCTCGGACAAGCATTTTTCCCAATGACTGTAAATCAGAGTGAAGTTCTCTTTGCCTAGTCTGACTTGGCCATGTTACTGTCACGTTTACTGATGTTTCACTGGCTTCCTTAGCTATACTTTTCACAGGCGTTGAATGTGAAATCGGAGTTGGTACTTCTGGTAATACAGGTGGGGGAGAATCAACTCTACCACGTTCAACTGTAGCTTTTGTCTGTGATGTAGTCGGGGAATTTGCACTTAAAATACACGGCCGTTTGGTACTGGGCCCTTCTTCTGCAAATAATTGTCGCCTTTTAAGTCTTCCTCTTTCGTAAGTCTCTTTAAGTTCGTTTACAATGATTTTTTCTTGAGAAATAAGGTTGTTTCTTTTGCGAAGTTTATCACAACACTGTCGACAAATGTAGGGCGAAGATTCCAAAATAACAAACGGCAACTGTCGAAGAGCCTCTTTCAGATCAAATTTCGTTTTGCCTGATACTAAATACCTTTCGTGCGCCTTTTCAATGATGCGAAAACACAGAATACAAGTACAACTCAAAGCATTACTCGAAGCCATTAGCAGATGACCGCCATTTGCATGTTTAATAATTATGCGGTGCGCCTTATTAATTTTACATAATTATACGTAAGTGACTACGTCACTGTACACGATTAAGCCCGAATTTCAGCAGACTGAAATTTCCCCCTTCTAAATTTCAGGCTGCGAGCAGGCTAGTTGTGAACATGCTTCGCGTAAATTTGCTCGCGAAAAATTGACCACACGAACTAAAACAGGTGAGTTCGCTTTTCAACTTGCGATCGGCTAATTTTTTTTACAAAATAAGCTTAACTGATAGTGTGTCTTATTTGATCTCTGGGACATTTTACTACAGTACTTGTACAAAAGTCGTTTTAAGCTTCCTGAAATTGACATATGTCGTAACCATTTTGTTCAAATTTGCCATTGAAGTGCCGTGGCCTTGCCAAATGTTTTGGATTTGTTTTGGCGCGAAAATATACTGAATTTGAATGGGCAACACAAGCTATAGTGACAAAATATAAAGTTGAAAGTGCTGTTCTTGGTTTACTGCTGTTATTTGTCCTCTAGTTGAAGTTTGCTTTGGTTTTCATCCTCCATTGTAATTTAATAAATTGTTCGTGGGTTATCGAATAATATTTAGGTAAATAAATTTTAATTTTTGAACTTATAGCAAAGGAAATAAACATTTAGATAGCATATTTTAGGTACATTCATAAACATTTAGATAGGATATTTCAGGTAAATTCATTTAAATTCAGTTTAAAATTAAATAGATAAATATATATATATATAAATTAAAGTGTCTAGGTGTATATAAATTTTTGAACTATATAATATGGAGAGTGAACCAAGCACTTCACATGAGACGAATAGTAGTGAATTACCAGTAACAATAAGATGGACAAGGGATTTACATGGCATTCTAGCATTTACATATGAGCTGTTAATCAAGCATTTGGGGACTGAAAATTCTGGTACAGGTGCTCAGAAACACAAAATTGGGTTAGCAAATGTTCAAAGACAAATATGTTGGGCAAGTCCAGGTTAAACCAAATATCACTAAAGGGAACATGTCCTGCTTCTTAGTTAAAGGCACTGCAACGTTAATGCTGCAATGAAAAGCAACACATACTCTTTTTATGTCCATTTAAATGAAGCAAATGGGGAGGTTGTGTATAGCAACTGTACATGTACAGCAGGCAAAGGTGGTAAATGTAAACATGTTGTTGCTCTGCTCTTTCAAGTTATTGAATACAAACAATTAGACATGACCGAGATTCCAGATCACCCGACCTGTACACAGCTATTACAGCAATGACACGTACCGAGAAAAGATGAATCAGATGAAGCTGTTCTTTATGAGAACATTGTGTTTGAAAAGGCTGTGTATGAGAAAGATGTTCAGGCTAAAAAGAGAAAACACAGACAGTCACTCCCCATATATATTACCTACACTTTTAAACCAATAAAAAATAAACTTATTAAGAATTTCTGTCTAAAATTTAACGATAGGTACTCGGAGTTTTACGCCTGAGATTCACGTCTTAATCTGCTTTGCGGAATAATAATTCAGCCGATCAAGTACACACAGTATATTACAAACGAACCTTGTATAAGCAAACGCCACCATAAAAGACCTAACGGCAAAAGTCCAGAATCTCGAATGCGTCCAGCTTATTAACAACAATTAAAATAATTCAGGAAGATAATTCTCAACGGACGAATAATATGCATACTGAGAAAGATCCCATAAAAATCCGGGTGTTGAAGTGAAAAATAATAAGAAAAAGAAACGTAAACAAAATGCGAAGCAGAAAGAGCAACAAAATAAACCACCAATAAGATCTGATGCTGAGAAATCATTTGCTAAAACAAACGTAGATATGCGGCAAGAAACCCGAAGCGCACCACCAAAGACAGCTGGACCAAGCGATCAGATAAAAAATGATGAGAACCTCGACCTTGAGGGAAGCCATTCAGGCACTAAGCCAACAAGAGTAATAGTGGCGGGTGACTCCATGGTTAAACATGTCAACGGTTATAAGATGCCAACGAAAAGCACAAAAATTCAAGTATCTGCCTTCCCCGGAAGTACCACGTTAGATATAACAGATTATATAAAACCGATATTAAGAAAGAAACCCGATAAGTTTATTATCCATGTCGGCACAAATTGCCTAAAAAGTCGGAGCGCTGTGCGGAAGAGATAATTAAATTGGGCGAATCAGTAAAAAATTCCATACCAGAGACGAAGGTGGCAATCTCGAACTTAATAACACGATCTGATGACGAGTTCCTAACACGCAAAGTCAGCGATGTTAATAAAGTCCTCAAACAAACCTACATTCAGAAACATTGGGAATATATCGATCACACGAACATTACACCCGAGGATTTAAACCAAAGTAGAATCCATCTAAATAAAGTGGAAACAATCAAGATGGCACATAATTTTACTGATTTTATTTATAATACGAAACATTATTACAACGCCGAGTGGGAGCCTATAGCTATAAATACTGAAATACAGCCAAGTATATATGACCAATCGTCGATAACCTTGGGTGAGTCAAACGAATCAAATTATCCAAATATCTCATTATATAATTTAGAAATAATACCAATTCATCGGGGCATGTCTATGGCATGTTTGAATATAAATAATTTATTTGCCCATATAGATGAATTACGAGTATTTATGAGTAATAATAAAGTAGACATATTATGTATTAATGAGACCAAACATGATTCATCAATTAATGACAATGAAGTCCATATACCAAATTTTGAAATCATTCGAAGAGATCGACGTACAAATGGCCGCCACAGTGGCGACATTTGCATTTACATTAGAAGTAATATTACAGGTAGTTACAAAATACGAAATAATCTACAATCTGAAACTCTCGAAAATCTAGTTGTAGAAATTAAGAAACCACGATCTAAGTCTATCCTAGTTAGTACATGGTATAGAACTTCTGATTTACCTACTAGTTACTTTGCCGAATTCGAGCAAATGATTCGATCGTTCGATGCTGAAAATTTAGAGTATTTTCTGCTTGGTGATTTAAATGTTGATTTTACCCCAACGACCGAGTCACCAAGCAAGAATAAAGTAATAGAAATACTTGATATATACGATGTAGAACAATTAATAAACGAACCGACAAGAATTACTGCTACATCTAGCACCCTACCCTGATCGATTTATGCCTAACCAATACACCTATAAATATTGGACGTGAACACGATAGGAATTTTTCATGTGATGGAAACAATTAATAAATTAGGAGTGGAAATACCTTCATATATCTCAATATTATCGGTATTTTACTTATTTCAATATTAGTTTTCAGTATTTTTCATACTGCAACAGCGTACTATATATATATATATATATATATATATATATATATATATATATATATATATATATATATATATATATATATATATATATATATATATATATATT